GACAATTCGGTAACACAACACAAAGCCAACTTTTATTCAATAAAAGACAAGTCCCCAGAGCACACGAGGATCGGAGGTTTTCAACTTGAAATTTCTGGAAATGACAACTTGATCATATACTATATTAAGGAGAATGTTAACAACTTTTTCTCGAAAAAGAATAGTGATTAGAGAATTATTATTTTTAATAACTCCATCGAATTACCACGACACTAATTGTCGTTAGAGAATTAATTCTTCACTATTAAACAAGAACCGAACAAACAAATACAATTTACGTATTTGAAGCCAGCTGAATGTGTGTTTCTTGGTCCCCGGCAAGGCACAGTTGGATTGCTTTTATTGTGATGCCAAGTCATTGCACCTTGACTAAGCCCTGCTACATTTATCAGCAGCTGTATAAAGAGGGGGATTAGATTTGAGGTTGTAAAACTTTTGTTTGCTTAAATTTCACAATAAAAATAAAATCCGCATATAAATTTAATTATTTAAGAAAAGGAGTGGGGTTGGAAAACTCCTCTGTTCTTGCATATTGCAGAGGGATTGATGTATGCATACAATAACAATAGGGCATGCAGTTAATTATAACATGCTGCAGACATGAACTAGATACAGAGGATTAACTTTATCGTGGCGTTAACTTACTTGCTTAATTTCTGACCTTGAGATTTGCTCCAAAATATGCCTTCCTCATTTATGTCCTTTTTAATCTCCAAGTACAACAGATGAGGAAACTGACCCTCCACCTTTGGAAGTTCTATTTTCATATTACTCAAGTACTTGAGACGCAAGATTTCCACCCTCCACTTACACTCAGTGACGGTCTCCTCCCCTGCATGGTCCAGGCTACAAAGTTCCCCGCCTCTTATATAGAGCTTCTTTAAATTTTTCAGTTGCGTCGGGTTTAGCCATGATGGTACTTCTTTCAGAGGGATGCCTTGAAGATCCAATTTTTCTAAATCCGGTGGGAACGAGAAATCCCGGGACTGGAGGGAAATCTTTTCTTTCAACTCTGAAGAAACCACTGTCCATGATATTTTGAGGCGGCGAAGAGATGAAATTTCCTTCAAAGTTTCAAACTCGTTGTCATGCATTACGGCCTCATTCGCTATGTATATACTTAGCCGCCTTAGTTTCTTCAACTTGGCAAGGTCACCGAGTCTTGAGGGAGTATTTATCAAATTGGCTATGAGAAAACCTTTAAGTACTTGGAGGGAAGAGAGTTTGCCGATCCCTTTCGGCATGCCTTCTAGGAAGTAACACTCGGATATATCCAAATGAGTGAGCTTCCTCAACGATGAGATATCCGAAGGCAATGTCTCTAAATTGTGGCATGCTCTCAGATCCAGAATTTCAAGGCTGATGATGTTAAAGATACAAGAAGGGATCCGTGTTATTCCTGATATTCCTCGGAGACTAAGATACTTGAAGCTCAAGTAGTGCTGAGCCCCAATACCTTTCAAAAATAATCCTTCATCATCCACTTCAATGTGATGCGTGGGTGAGCTCTGCCACCGTCCCAGCTGAAGAACAACAACGTTCTTCAACTTCCTAAGCCATTCACGTTTGAAACTAAGATAGTTTGTGTTCACATTGAGTACTGTCAACAGATCTTCCTCACCCGGAGAAGTCGGGTTCTGATCAAAAACTAACCACGCACGCCTGTCCAACGATACTTGACATGATGGCATCCACGGCCATGATGAATCAAAGTGGAAGAGCAGAGCGTCCTTGGCCAAGCGTATCAGCATACAACGAATCCAAGGGTGCAACGTGCAACTAGTGGAACTACTGGATGCATTAACAACATTTCCATGTGGTTGAATCAAGCCCTGTTTCATGAGTTTGCCAAAGATTTCTTCCCCTACCTCTTCAGCTGTCTTGTCTTGGGTGGCCGTGATGAAACCCTCTCCAATCCACCAGTAAATTAGAGGCCTTTTCTTTATCACCGACTCCTCAGGGAAGATTGACAAAGAGAGGAAGCAGAGCCTCAACTCGGTGCCCTCAAGATGTTCGTAACTCCTCAGATTAGCCATAGCACGACTTTCGTAAATTCCTTTCTCCACGCCCATTTGTGACAACTCTTTTGATAGCTTCTTAGCTGCTGTTAGACCCGACTCCGGCTGAGAACGATGCGTAAACTCTGAACTGCGCTCTGTGTAACTCGGCATTAACTTCATCAAAGGGATTGAGTTTATTTGGTTGACATTTTCAATAATGCGAGCCAGGACGTCGGTGATTGCCTCCAGGCTATTGAAAGTATTGTTCTCATCATCTCCCAATAACAACTTGTCAACTCGACGTTCTAAGACAGTGAATTGGTTGAACAGAGTGTGCTCCCAGAGCTTAAGTCTAGGTAGCAATTTTAAGTCTTCCAGTTGTCGAAGCCCATCTTCAATCTTTTTGAAGCTCCTCATGAACACTTCCTGATCATCACCTGGCTTTATGTTGGCTTTGGCTTTTCCCAGACGATCCAATAACTTGGGCAGGAAATGCTCTGCATTTCTTGAGGTTAAGGTGACACTCATTTCAGATGCAATTACTGAAAAGGAGGTAGGTGTGGAAAGAAATTCATATGAATGTGAAAACCGGTTAGAACATTTAAAACAATAACCGCAAGATCATCTTTTTAAAGAAATATAATAATTACTCTTATCTAACACTGAAAGGAAAAAGAGAAACGAAAAAAGCTCATTATACTCCTTTGTAGTCCTAGAAGCAAAGAACAATGGCAAAAGAAAATATATACGATTCCACACTTCTTTTATAGCTAAAATGTCAAACAAAAAGGAAAAAAATAGAGGAGGAGCTCCTTCTCACAACAAATGGGATTTTGACACTTGTTAAATAAATAAATAATGCTTCCCTCCTTGCGCATAAGGAGAAACTCCTCCTTACTTACTAATGTGGCTCAACTTCTCAAAGGTGCATTTATTTTTCACTATTACTCTTGGAGATACTATTAGTTGACAATCACAGTTCAAAAGGCAAATAAAAGAAATAAAAAAAGAAAAGGAGAAAAGAAAAAGCTCATTATACTCCTTGGTAGTCCTGGAAGCAAAGAACAATGGCAAAAGAAATATATATAATTCCCAACTCTTTTCAAACAATTATTCAATGTCAATTAATCTTAATCTCAAATAGCATAAAGAAGATGGTGTGGGAAGGACCAGCAGGGTAACATGTCGAAAGATATATTTTATTTAAGCATTGTAATATTTGTTGAGAATATTTGTCCCACATTAAAAAGATAAGGCTTCATATGTTGGGTCTAACGGCCACACGTGCTCTCACATAACCCAATATATATTGTTCACGTGTTAGACTTGATAGTCCACCACACGCGTGGGGTCTTGGTTACTATATGATAGTTTCTTATTTACCCATACAGGTCCGTTAAATAAAGAAGTTTTCGTCATCTTCATATATATATATATATATATAAATATAATTATAAAACTGTTAAACGTGCTTGTCAAACTCTGGTTCTTAATTTTGAACATAATTTGATATGTTAATAGTAGCGTTTAACAAATAATCATGTCAGCTTCACAAACCTCCCCCAGGTGTTGACCTAGTTTACATTGGTGTTCTTGTGAAAAATTGGGTTAAAAAGAGCAACTATTAAGAAACAAAGGTTTTTACTATTACTCTTGGAGACGCTTTTAGCTAACGAACACAACTCAAAAACAACACCTAATGGAAAGACAAAAGAAAAGGAGAAAAATAAAAAGAGAAAAGAAAAAGCTCATCGCATATACTCCTTGGTAGTCCTGGAAGCAAAGACAAAAGAAAAGGAGAAAAGAAACAGCTCATTACATATACTCCTTGGTTGTCCTGGAAGCAAAGAACAATGATAAAAGAAAAATATATACGATTCCCCATTTTTTTTCGATCAGTCTTAATATCAATGAACATAAGACGGTGTGTGAAGGACCTGGATAACGTGGCAAAATATGTGTTTTATTTAATCAACAAAATATTCGGTAAGTATGGTTAAACTCCTCGGTTCGGTTTTATAGCTGAAACTCAAAAAATTAAAAGAAAAACTAGTCCAAATGGCACACTGTGGATTCTGAATCAAAATTCGCGTTTCTACTAGAGACACAAACTTTTTATTACCAATTAATAATGTGACAGTTTCTTATTCACTGATATAAGTCTAATAATACACAAGCTTTGTCATCTTCCTCATCTTCGTATAATTTTTTTTTGGTTTGAACCACGAGGTGGTCCTGGATGGGCCCCAACTATGGGTGGCACCTTTAAGCCTTAACCACAACCCAGACTAATCCCCGCTCACACCGGGTCGGCCCGTAAGGGGTAAAGTGCTGGCCAAAGTGGTGACTCCATACGAGAGCAAGGATCGAACTCCTGACCTTCTCTTAAGGAATGAGAGTGCCGAACCACTCACACCAACCACCTTGGTTATCTTCGTATAATTATAATACTTGTTGAACGTGCTTGTCAAAATCAGGTCCTTAAGTTTCATCCTATTTCGACCCTTTAATTATTAGTGTGTAAATGGGCCATATCAACTTCACAAACTTTGCCACCATATGGTTTTGATGACCTTTTTGTTATGTCAAGAAGTATGATAATACACAAGCTTCGTCATCTTCGTATAATTATAATACTAGTTGTACCTTCACAAAGTGCTACCTGTAATTGGAATAACCGAAACTGATTAACAAAAGCAACTACAAAAGCAATCACAGCTCAAAAACCGAACACTTGAAAGGAAAAATGAAAAGAAAAAGCTCATTATACTCATGCAAGCAAAGAACTTTTTAAACAGTTATTTGATGCTGAGCATGAATAACGTGGGTGGGTGAATAACATGAATAACAGTTATTTGATGCTAAAAATATGAAAATGATCGAACTAGAGATCAAAGCACTGAACAAAGGCCAAGGCGTGGTTATGTGCTCTTCATATTACTCCCCCAGTTTCAGATTAAAATTGCAGTAGATACATAAATATAGTGCTGAGGGGGAAGAATGGCAGGGGATGTTGCTCAGTTTCTCCAGAAAAAGTTCCTGGCATCTCTTAGGGACACAGAGTCCGAATTATCAGGTGCTGTTCTCATTTCTTACTTGCGAGCAATAAAAGATATTGTAATAGATATAGATACGCGAAGACTTAGAGAAGATTACTGCCGTCTCTTTATCCAGGTGCTCCTGGACCTCACCGACGCATTCACCAAGTGCCAGGTCTTCTCACATGAGTGGAAGAAGCATAGTCATCACAAGACTCATTTAATCTTCAGCCATTTGAGTTTGACGAAGATGTATTTCGCGCGGAAGATGAAGAAGCGGCTGGCTGCAATAAAAGGCATCTTCGAGGATGAGTTTATGAAAAAGGAAGAAATAATTTATGACTTGAGGGAATCATCAAGTCGTCCTGATCCTGAAGAGAATTTAATACATCACCGTCAAAGATTTGAGGCTGAAGTTGTGGGATTTGATGAGGAATTACGGAAGATTGGGAACTTTCTTTTAAAATCATTGCCGTCGTCAGGTGCTGGATTTGCGGCAGTTGGGATAGTGGGTATGGCAGGCGCAGGTAAGACCACTCTGGTGCGCGAGTTTTTGAGTTGGTGGATAGTGCAAGGTGAATTTTCTCCTATAATTTGGTTATGCTTGTCGAATATAATCAAAGAAAATAAACAAGCAGAAGAAGAAATTGAGGTCAGCATTGTGAAACGTATGCTTAGTAAGTTGGACCATGATGCCGTTGTCGATGGAGATGGCATCATCCAGGAGGAGGAGAAGACAGTAAGTAGTAATAATAAGTCTGGTCATCTCCTTGCTGCTCTCTTGGAAAGGCTCAACCAACATTTATCAGATAAAAGGTATTTGATTGTGTTGGATGATGTGTGGCACATGAACGACTTCTACTCGGATTTAGGACATAGGCAACAACTACTTCAGGATCAGGAAGGTGATAAGAAAGTTGGGAATCGCTTGTCTCACGGATTGCCTAAGGGTAGTGGTGGTGCGGTCATCGTCACTAGTAGGATACCGGAAGTGGTTGAAGCTATGGTGGTACCGGCGGAGGGGTCAGATCAACGTTATAACAGCTTGGTTATTCCTCTTCAGCGTTTGGACCGACAAAGCTGCTGGGATATATTTAAGTACACTGTTTTTGGTTATCTTCCTGATTTTGAATATCAACATTTGGAAAAGTTTGAGAGTGAAATTAAGGATTTATGTTATGGTCTACCATTGGCCGCTAGGACACTCGCAGAAATCATGTCCCAAAACTCCCAAAATTTAGGGTGTTATTCTCAACTTAAGTATACGTACAGTAGTACTTTACTTACTCCCTTATTTTGGTATCGTCTTCGAATTATTTACCAACCAATATGAATATCCCATGCAGGAGGACTTCTCCGCCCCACCGCAAATCTGAGGAGTTGCTTCAATTACCTGATTCCTTCTTCAGTATCCCAATGTTGGTGTTTATTGATAGGTATTTGGATGATGAAGAAGAACTCATTGGGAAATTTTGCGACCTCCTTACTAAAAAGCAGGTATTATGTGAAATGAAATTTTAACACAGTTTATGTATAATTAAAGCTCTAATTAACATGCATGGATTTGATTAAAGTTTGTTGTAAATATAATATTGTATTTTTTTCCTTTATTTTCTAGGTTTTTGGTGTACTACTAAGATTAGCAAAGGCATATCATCGTAATCCTGAGACAGTGCTAAAGGATGTTTATGGTACTCTAGAAAAGCTTAAGCAAAAAGGTTATTATGGTTTTGCTTCTGAAATTCAAAGGAAGATGAGAATTGTAGTGAGTAACATGTTAAATTAATACGGTTTGCTAAAGCGTAGTCTATACTTTTCTAAATAACATTTTTAATATATTTTTTGAATTTGATATTATATATCTCAGGTTGTTGGCAGGGATGAGGTTGTAAATTGGATTTTGGGAGTTATCTGTGATCTTAAATTGTCAGAGTCACTCTCCATTGCTCCGGTACCACCACCGACTTTAGAATGTGGAATCGCTGCTTCGTTTGGATGGGTGGGACGTTTAGCATTTATATTTAATTCTTTTTAATTGGCTACTATTTAATATTGAAACGTTTTGTTAAAAATAAATCAATGAATACATAAATATGTAACACAAACCATACACGAATAACAATATTAAACAATGATAATATATACCTAAAACAATATTGATTAGGCAATTGTATATTGGAAAATTATGGTGATACATGCAAAATATAATTTACCTACATATCTAATACAAGATAGGTAAATAGATAAATACATACTTCTGTTAAAAAAAGAGGTCACAATAATTTACCTACATATTAGATAGATAATTCGTAGAATTTATAAATTTGTATTGGGTACATTATTCTATTATTTCATAATGGTTACAATTTTCATAAATTAAAAAGGAAAAAGAAAAAGAAGGATGATAATTAGATGATAAATAAATAATTTGTGCAAGGCACATAGGAATTTTTGTGTGGTGTACACGTAATATATAGGCACTAACATTTAATACTTTATTTAATTTATGCATGTTGCCTTGACTACTTCCAGAAGGGCATTTCAAATATATCACCACTGCGATCGTTCCTTGCTGACATAGCACTGGCAAAATCAATGAAAACTGATAGGTATTCGATCAAGATGTCGTATGGCTAACTCTTTAATTATCTATATGTATTTTTTTTAAAAAATATAAGTGATAATATAAAAAAAATTTATAGTAAAAAAAAGGTTTCTCATACACACATTACTAATTAGGTGCCATGAGAATTTGAATCTAAGACCATTGGTATGAAAATAAATGTCATTTTTCCACTAGACCTCATTGACAATTATATATGTTCATATTATTTCTTTTTAGTTTACATTGAAGTCCACTTTTAATAGTAAGATAACTAGAATTAATGGGTAAATTAATCTGCATTAATTTATTATAGTTGTAATCTTATTTATTCTTTTATTGGATTTTCAGCTGGCATTATCTCATTAGGATGAAACCACATTCTTCTTTACCGAGCCGATTACGACATTATTGGCATGAGGTGGAAAAAGCGGTAAAAATATTGCTCCTTTTTTTTTTTTCTTTTTTTTTCTTTTTTTTTTTGTTCTTTCATATTCTCCAATCTCCATTCTCAATGGACCTATCACTTCATTTTTATGATATATATTCTATATTATCAAACGAATGAAAACCTTGAGTACTGAATATATGGATGATCATGATCTCCTTCTTTATTACCACTTATTATCTTAAGATAATATGAATTCCTCAATTCTTATACATTTCTTAGGATAATCCAACATTATACGGACGATTTTGGCACTACTTCATCTTGAATGGTAAAGAATTTCATCCTTGTTTAAACTTTAATTTCTTTTCTTCGGAATCTCTAACAATTTCTTTTGTTTTTATTCATATTTTCGTCGGAATTTCTACATTTGGGGACTACTAATATTTTCGAAATGGCCGATATTTAAGTCCGCGGTTTGCGTATAAGGTATTTATTGGCAGAGCTTCATGCTTTCATCCAAGCTAAATAACTAATTATGCGGTTTGGGTATCAAGTTGTTATAAATAACCCTGTGTGCATATGAAATTACTAATTATTGGTATCCAATCCTGGTAATTTGATATTAAATTATAGGTTTATTTTCACAAAAGGTCTTTGAGGTTCATGAAATTATCATCTTTGGTCTTTTATGTTTTTTGTAACATGGTTAGTCCTTAAGGTTATTCGCATACATAGAGAAGAAAATAACAATCCTCCAGTACGACAAGTATTTTGTTGTTACAGAAGTTCCTTATGGAGATCCTACTTTTTAGGGATTTCTGGAACTGGTATGTTATTTTTCCTTATCAGCAAAATAAGAATGTGTATCTGATCCACCAGCTGTTTTATATTTATTTAATTTTAGCTAGATTGATTGCGATAAAAAAAATAATTAGAAAAAAAAAAAACCAAAAACCCTCTGCTTTTAACAAGGTGTGTTTTTGGTTTGCGATAAAAAGAAGAAAATGTGCCCAGAATTGATGACCTTTTTCACCAGCAGATGAAAAAGTGGAAATCCTCTGCTTTTATGAATTGACAACAAAATTAGATTGCCATGTATTGATTGTTTGTACTAATCGAAATCCTAATCTTGTAGAACACAAAAACAGAAATACAAGAAAATATGAGGAGAGAGAGTTCTAGTTAAATGCTTGAATTAATAATTAAATGGTATTTTAGAAATAATGATGGGTGGAAAGATAGGTGTGTTTTTTTTTAAAAGAATAATGTTACTCTTACCACATTTGTATACCACATTCCCATACCACCTCATGTGACAGATGAGGTGGACAACCACATCAATTAAAATTCATTTAACATTTTCTTTTCTTTTATGATTTTTTTTATTGATGTGGCTGTCCACTTCATGTACAACATAAGATGGTATGAGAATGTGGTATACAAACCATAAAATTATTAAATTCTGAAATTTTGATGTAAATAGAAGGAATTATCTTACCATTGTGCATAACTGTAAACTCTAATTAGGGGAACTTTTTGAATATGTAAAAGTATAATAAATTAAATTTTAAGTTTAGTTAGGTAACTTAATGAGTTGGATCCTAGTCATCAAGTTTTACTTATACAAATTAGGTTTTATTTGTAGACAAATATAATGATGGGTTGTAGGTGAGAAATAATTAGTTTGAAGGGGAATAGACAGATTTACTAAAAACAGAAATGCTCAATACAAAAAATTTGATGACATGTTTTATTGAATTTTTATTTTTTTAAATATTTTCAAAATAATTTTTTATTTAAATCCACATGGCATGCTATTATTGGACACATGGCTCCACATATATGCCATATCATCAATTTAACATAATTTTTTTGGAATCTCACGGTAGGTACAAATTTTATCAAATATGATAATTTCATAAACCTTATAGAACATTTGTGAAAATATAGGCCAACTACATATTCTTCTTTTAGTACTTTATACTTTTGTTTTTCCTAACAGGGAAGACCTAACCTCAATTGCAATAGTAAAGGTGTTGAATCATCTTGGTCAGTGGGAAATGCTTCACATTCCTAGAAGGTACGTAATGATCATGGAATTTACGCTCAACCTCTTTTATTGCTCCCTCATAGAGGATATCATTTTTCTGTTGTGTGTTTTTATTTCTTTAAAATGTTTGATGAAAACCTTGCTTGCACTATGTCTTTCATCTCACTATTTGTTGTATGATTAAATGGAAAGAAAAAGGGTAATGATTTCCCCACTCCAATTTTATCCACTTACACTAAGGAGTGTAAATGAATAAAATTGGAGTGGGAAAATCGCCATCCAAAAAAAAAAAAAAAGAGGAAGGAAAATGGCACTTTCATTTGGCATATCTTTCGGTAATTCTCTCTCTCTCTCTCTCTCTCTCTAACCCTAGTTTGATAACTAATTTTTCATAAAAACTTGATTCTGTTAGTGTCAAATGCACCAAAAGGGCAATCCTCTCTGTACATCGGGAATTTATGTTGTTATCAAGTCATCACTTCTTATAATTAATTTTTTTTTTTATATATAAGCGAAGCGACAATGTGAAGGTGCCATAAAAATTTGAACATGAGACCTCTACTAATATGCAAGTTAAACCTTTTTTTTATTCCTTAGTACAAGTGACATTGATGCTTTTCATATTTCTAGCAGAAAAAAGAAGAAGAGATAATGATCATCACTTTTGATTTTAGGTTTGATTATTTTTTTGAGTGCAACCTATTGGGGAGGAGATTTACACTTATTCATTGGGTGCCTGAGAGTTTTGAACTTCTACCTATATGAGTAGAAATGAAAGTGCAAAACCACCTGAGTTATACCCTTCACTGGCTATGTTTTGATTACTTTACATTTAAGCATATATATATATATGTACCATTAACACACACATGCACGCACGCAGACTTACGCGTACTCTAATTTTATGTCTCCTTGGTATACATGAACAGAATCAATTCAATTTGTTGTCTTAACTTGCCTATCTTTGGTCCAAGTGATGATCGTTGGGTGGCAAAAAATATAATGGAAGATGGAAAAGTGAGGTTCCTTTTTCTTTGTTTACACATGTTTTTGTT